CAGCGTGCCATCGCTGGTAAATAGTATCAATGGCCAATGAGGGTCTGGCTGGAGAATCTTGCCTACATGCTCGGGGTTCTACTGATCGCCATATTTGGGGTCAGGAAGGAATTTTCCTCCAGGGTAGATTGGCAGAGGCCCTGGAGGTTTTTCGCCTTCCTCCGCAGCATGGGGCGGGGGTCGCTAGCTGGAGGATTCTCTGCGACTTGAAGTCTTTAAATCTGGGGACTTCAACAACAGAATTTGGGGACTTCAACAACAGAGTCAAGGGAAAGGGGTTGGGTCAGCTTTTGTGGCCTGCATCATGCGGGAGGTCAGACTAGATGATCATAATGGTCCCTTCTGACCTTAAAGTCTATGAGTCTATGAGGTCTGAACTTCTTCAGAATTTGGGGGTTTGGATTTGGGTTATACTTCTGTCTATAAGGATAATACTACACTCACCGAGTGTATAGAGCATAGAGAATATAGAGCATAGTGTATAGAGAATATAGAGCATCTGTCTATAAGGATAATACTACACTCACCGAGAAATGCAGCTACCTGGAAGAAGAAACAGAATAGCTGTTCAACACTGTACAGATGAGATGAACTACAGAATGGGTTATGATAGTCAAGAAATACTACCATATCCATTTGAAATTGCCAGGGGAATTTAGATAGGCAGAATGTAATCACCCAAGTTGATATTTGGCCAGAACCCTGGATTAACACTCAAATTCTTACAAAAGCTGGTCAAAAGTTAACTCATAGATCTAGCCTGATAGCCAGCAAGCCAGACTCACCTTTGGATTCTCCTGGTGGAACAGTTTGGGTGAAATTATACACGTGAGTTAATTTCAAATTATTGATTAAATAACTGCAAACAATTTAGGACAGTCTCCCACTACGTATTTGTATAGCACCTAGCACAATGAGGTTGCAGTCTCAGTTGGGATCTTTAGGCACTACTGTAATACAAATGATAATAATTATAATCAGGAGTTGTGGGAATGTTTACAGCAAAATGTGCTTGTAACTGAAGGCAGTTAATTCACTGTCACAGAACAGTGTCCTAATTGAATTCAGCATTGTACAAGTAAAACAAGTTTTCTTCCCTCCCAGGGGAAGATTTTAACAAAATGCCTGATGGGAAAGCACGAAACAGCAAATAACAAGAGAAAATAAACTGGTTCTGTCTCAATAATGAACATGAATTTCCAGCCCCCGAGGCACTCTGATGACTGACCTTGAGCATTGCACTTTGTGTAATAGCTGTCATGTAGTTATAATTATCAGGGGAAAAGTGTGAACTTCCCTGAGTAAACATATCAAGAAGAAATAATGGTCTAAGTGCTGATAGCCCACCATCATCCCCCATTTTAAGCGCTTTGCCATTTAGGGCCACATTTTGGCAAGTTCTCATTCATGTGAGTACTCTCATTGAATTCAATGGCACTACTTGCATGAATGAGCACTCACCAATGTGAATAAAGACTGCACAAGCTGGCACTAATTGTATTGCTCCAAACATGGGATCTTGTAAAATCTCACTGTGAATCCTTTATATGAAAGGGAGCTATGCAGGAAGACTCATGCAGATGAATTTGGCAGTGACCCTTCAGTGATAAATAAATATTGTTCAATAGTTTGTCTGACTTGAAGACAACAAAGCAAGAGTTGGTTTTGTTCTTTCCTGCTGTACTTAAAAGAACTGACTGAATGTCTGAAAAATCAGTCCTCTATAATCAGTGCTTTAAACCCTGTTTAAACCACTCCTTGGAAATTGGGCTAACAAGTCAATGTGAAAACTATATGCTGCCCAATATAGACACCAGGAAATCTTATGGAAACTTTTAACCTTTCTCCTCCCTCAGCTGAGTTTTTCCAACCTGTTGAAGGTATCAGTAAATCATTTCAGATGAAAGCAGTCAACTAACTAAACTGGTCCAGCAAAAAAGAATGGAATGTATTCAGAAATCCAGATAATGGGACAAATTCATCCCTGGTGTAATTCAGCAGAAGTAATCAATCAAGATTCTGTATACAAAATTAAGTCCTCATCTTCAGCTGTGCAACCCCACTACCTTCCGATTGTGTCTTCATTGTCATCGGTGCCAGCTGTAAGTAGGTTTGCCCAGGTGTCATTGAGAGTATAATCTAAAAACAAAATGTAAGGGCTTGTCGACACTTAAAATGCTGCAGCAGGTAAACTGCACCAATGCTGCTGCACCACTGCAGCATTTCAGTGAAGAGGCTACCTGCACTGATGGGACAGCTTCTCCTGGCAGCATAGTTAATCCACCTCCTCGAGAGGTGGTAGCTATGTCAACAGGAGAAGCCCTCCCGTCGAGATAGCCCTGTCTACACCAGGTGTTAGCTCCACACCCCTGAGCAACATAGTTCTACCAACATAAGTTGCTAGTGTAGACCAGGCCTACGTGAGGGCTTAATTTGGCCTGTAGAATCTCTATCACTCTATGTTTTCCTCCACTCCCCTTTACTTTAAACCCTGGGAATAACATGTAGTTTATCTAATGTTTAATAAGATTAACCAGTTTGTTTCTACTTCTTAAAATACATTCAAAAGCAATATATAATTGTATATTGCTCCCTGGAAACGCAAACTGTTCCATGGTATCTTTATTACAGGTGAGCTAATGAGTTAGTTCCATAAAAACCCCAGCCTGAACCTCAGTCCTTTCTAAAACTGAACCAAACTGAAGCATTTTTAGAATTCAAGCCCATTTACTGAAATCTAATTTTGAGAATTAACAGTCATGTAACTAGTTTTAATATTTGATACTGGAATGCAGATTATTGTGCATTGCCATGAAAACATTGAGCCAAATTCATTCTGGGAGTTAGGCCAAGGTTAAATTTGGGCCACTGTCATTAAATGTAAAAGGCATACTTCAAGATTAATAGAAAATCAGCTGATTGCAAAAAATATCCCCCAAACTGACACTTACCTTGCAACTCTCCCCCGAAGATCTCCCAAACCGGACAACTGCCGCATTTCCAGGCTCTTTAAGGTAGAATTAGTTCCATAACTGAGGTTATCCCTGACACGTATCTGTTCCTGCAGCGTCTATAAGGCATTAATATGCAAATAGGAGTTCAATAAGTCACTTATTATACATTCAATAGGCCACTTGTTATATTTTGCTAAATCCAAATAAAATATAAAATCTATTTTTTAATTTAATAACAACTGTTTTTATAGGCATGCAGAATGTGGTGCATTATACTCATATATGGTTTCTCCTGATTTTCAGGGCCCAGTCTACACACACAACTCTCACTGAAGTCACACTGGAAGCAGAATTGGGTCCTGAAATACTAACCTATATTTGTCCATCTACCACTACCCTGCTAATTTCTGCAGAGGTCAGGCTTAAGGTTGCATATTTGACTGTGACTGGATCACCTGGATGTGTGCATTGTGGGTGGTGCATGTGGAAAGTGAAAGGGAGTTTTTATTGCAGGGGTGAGGAGTCTGTGAGTATGTTTAGGTGGCAGGGCCTTTAAACTTAGGTTGAAATGCATGTTAGCTCTGCATTAACTGATGATTTCCTAGGTTTTCTAGTTTTGTGCTGAAAGGAAATATATTAGCACCACAAAACTGTTTGTGTAGAATTTATATTTAAAGTCCGGCCACCCCGTACTGTTTTTTTATTGCCACAAAAAGAACTACATACTCTGCATGCACTTTGTAAGGATGTACACACAGTTTATAAACTCTTCAGATCTTATACTTATATCACATATTAAATCTTACTAAATGTTCTTATTAAACTTGGAGTCAATAGCAGAGATGGTGTCAGCC